TCACACATGGTGTAGTTCGCTCATTGGCGTTGCTCACCCATGCCCGCGCATATTGATGCTGCTCACGCACGTATTGTATTCCGAGGCTTGTCATAAATTCTAGACGCTTCGCGTGTCCCCGCCAGCCCATCCCGAAACGATGTCCAGGCGAGTTGAGGTGATCAGGGAAGCGCGGCAGCAAAGAGGAGGACGGCCGAACCGTGCAAAGGAGTGAGGAGGAGAAGGAGGAGGTGGATGGATGGATGGATGAGGGACTGGGAAGAAAGAGGATGAATAGGATGAGGAGGAGGCGGAGGAGGAGGAGGAGGAGAAGGAGGAGAAAGACAAGGAGTAGGAGCAGGAAGGAGGAACAGGAGGAGGAGAAGGAGGGCAAGCATAAGGGCCCGAATATCTGCCCCTCAGGAGGCCAAAACGGGGCCATATTTGCCCTCTCAGGAGGCCAAAACGAGGCCAACATCTCAATACAATCAATGAGTGTGGCTTCCTCGCCGAGGCCGTTTTGGACGCTCTGACCGCTCGCGGCCCCCCCCCTGTGCATGTCCACGGGAAGGGGGTGGGGGGAAGGGTAAACCCTTCCCCGAAGGGAAAGAGGGAGGGGTGGAAGAGGAAACGCCTTAAACCGCCGACGCCCAGAGGGCTGGTGGGATTGCCTCGATCAGGGAAGTGGACAGCACACAGAAGAAACCAGTATGATACATCTTGGGATTACTTGAGCCATCTTGGAGGTCATTGTGGGCTCTCCGAGGCGCTCTTGGAGTCATCTTAATCAGTGCCCTCCACCCCCCAAGAGGCCAACACGTGGCTAAAACCTGAGTGCGAACAATGGTTTGACATTATCGCCGAGGCCTATGGGAGAAACCTTGGGTGCCTCTGGGGGGTCTCTTGGGGCCTCTTGGGGGTCTCTTGGGGGTATCCTAGGGGCCTCTTGGGGGGCATCTTGGGGCCATCTTGGGGCCATCCTGCGGCCTCTTGGGGCTTCCTGGGGGCCTCTTGCGGCCGTCGTGGAGGAAATCGATCAAAGAAGAGGGGGTCTTTAATTAGCCCTGCCCCCTCAGAAGGCCAACATGGGGCCAAAAGATTTGAGCCACATCCCCAGCATTCCCTAGGGTTTGCTAGGGATCTGAGCCAGATCCATACATAGGATTTCCTATGGATTCCTATTGGATGTGAGCCAGATCCAGGAACCTGAGCCAGATCCCTAGCATTCCCTATGGATTCCCAGGGATCTGAGCCGGATCCCTAGCATTCCCTAGGTTTGCTAGGGATCTGAGCCATCCCTAGGATTTCCTAGGGTTTGCTAGGGATCTGAACCAGATCCATAGGATGTCCTAGGGTTTGCTAGGGATCTGAAGCAGATTCCCAGCCTGATTTTTAGTCGCCAGGGCTTCCAAGGGTCAAAGCCCAGATCCCTGATTTGGCCCGCTCTCATTTTTAGCCACTGAACGTCAAATTCCCCGATTTGGCCGGTTCCCTGATTTTGCACCTGAAAGACCGGTTTGCGGTCCGTTCCCCGTTCTGGCTGTTAGACGACCGGTTCCCCGATGAGCCAGATCCATATGATTTCTTAGGGTTTGCTAGGGACCTGAGCCAGATCCCTAGGATCTCCTAGGGTTTGCTAGGGATCTGAGCCAGATCCTTAGGATTCCTAGGGTTTGCTAGGGATCTGAGCCAGATCCATAGGATTTCTTAAGGTTTGCTAGGGATCTGAGCCAGATCTCCAGCAATTCCTTAGGGTTTGCTAGGGATCTGAGCCAAATCCGTAGGATTTCCTAGGTTTTGCGAAGGATCTGAGCCAGATCCCAAGCAATTCCCTAGGGTTTGCTAGGGATCTGAGCCAGATCCACAGGGTTTCATAAGGCTTGCTAGGGATCTGAGCCAGATCCCCAGCATTCCTTGGGGTTTGCTAGGGATCTGAGCCAGATCCCTAGGATCTCCTAGGGTTTGCTACGGATCTGAACCAGATTCCTAGGATTTCCTAAGGTTTGCTAGGGATCTGAGCCAGATCCTTAGGATTTCCTAGGGTTTGCTAGGGATCTGAAGCATATTCCCAGCCTGATTTCTTGTCGCCAGGGCTTCCAGGGGTCAAAGCCCAGATCCCTGATTTGGCCGCTCTCATTTTTAGCCACTGAACGTCAAGTTCCCCGATTTGGCCGGTTCCCCGATTTAGCACCTGAAAGACCGGTTTGCGGTCCGTTCCCCGTTCTGGCTTTTAGACGACCGGTTCCCCGTTTTGGCCGATTACCCTTTGGACGCAACCAAGTTCTCTTTGCTCTTCGGGTTTTCGACGCTGCCAAGTTCTCTTTGCTCTTCTGGGTTTTGGACGCCAAGTTTCCCGTCCCCGAGATTCTCTTTGCTCTCCGGGTTTTGGACGCTGTCAAGTACCAGTTGGTTCTCAGTCGTTTCTTAATTTTTTCTTATCATAATTCATGTTCTAGTTGTAATTCATGTTCTAGTTGTTTATCCGTCAGCGAACTGGTCGTGTGATTGTTTTGTTTTCGAA